TTATAAGAGCTCCTTAGCCATGCAAAGGAGACGACAATTATATATTTATCGTGCTGATGGAGTGATGTTATATTAGTGCTTAACATCAAAGACTGTGATGTAATTTATTTGAAAATAATACTTTACCGACAAAAATCATGTGCCATAGGCCCAGAGGTCACAGCGCACAATTCGAGATCCAATGGGGCGATGGAGATCAGCTGGCCGTGCTTTTCGATAATTTAATAGTCTTAGGCTTTTCGTGCTCTTTTGCAGACAACGCACAATTATTGGTTTTGATTCTCTGTTCTCTCAGCTACCGTTCTTCTAACTCATTCTACTGCTCAATCCCTCAAGCTTTATCAGTCGATGAATGTTAGGGGCCCTCGCCCCAAGCATCGCCTTTCAAGCTCGAACCCACACGAAGCCATCTCACTTAACTTTCAAAGCTTATGGCCTCGAGGGTTGAAGGCCGGTGATTAGAGCAACTGCCCCTAGCATTTTCACTTGTGGATTTCAAATACAACCTTATTATTTGATTTGCTTCTCTCATCAATTTCGTCACAATTTAAAAAAATAAAAAATATATTGAATGTTATTGAATAAATTTGATGAGCTTACAGATAAATTTTTAAAAATTTATATATTTGTAAATTCATATATTTCAATCCAAATTTCAAAATTATAAGTTTCAATTAAATTTAGGGTTTGTTTTTTAGTTAAGTTTCTATTAAATTAAAATTTTATTTATTAATTTTTTTACAAAATCACAAATGATAAAAATGTTTCTTCCTAAATTTAAAAAAATTATAAATATTCAAATTCATAAATTTTTACAAATTTATGAATTTATGAACTTATAAATTTGTAAATCATTGGGATTTTATTAAAAGTTAAATTTTCAGACTTATGAATTTATGAATTTGAATTTATAAATTTACAAATTCAAACAAAATTTTATTAAAAGTTAAAAGTTATTGGATTTAGTTAAATAAAAAATTGGGTGCATGGAGAATTTTTAATAAATGTAAATAGAATAACTCCATTTCTAGTAGAAATTTGATGTGATTTTTCAAGGTATATTTAGATTTAGTAATTTTAAATACAATACAATAATATAATATAAAACTAATATCAATAAAAAAATAAAAATAACATGAATTAAAATTTTAATAAAAATTATAAATAAATTTAATAAAATATAATATAATATTTCATATTTTTATATTAATACGAATTATAACATATAATTTTTATTAAAAATATAATACAAATATATAAATTTTTAATATTTTATATAATACATATACATAAATTATCAGATATAAATATATCTACCATATTATGGCTAAAACTTTGGAGGACTAGGCATATTTTTTTATATAGGATTTGATAGCTATATCATCCAATCTAAAATATTAATATAATTTAAAATTTTAATAATAAATATATATAAATTTAATAAAATTTAAAAATATATTTTAAATTTTTTTATATAAATTATAACACAAAAATTATAATATAAATACATAAAATTTAATATTTTAATTTATGAACACAAATTAATTAACTCAAAAGAGTAAAGAAAAAGTCTTGATTTGAGATTTAAGAGTTCCGTGTTTTTATAAAAGGTCTTTAGCCATGCAAGCGAGACGTGAACTGTATATTTATCGTACTGATGGAGTGATGTTATATCAGTGGCTAACATCAAGGACTTTGGTGTAATTTACTCAAAAATAATACTTCACTTACAGGAATCACGTGCCTCAGCCCACAAGTGCACAATCGAGATCCAGGGACCGCACAAAGGCGACCACCTGGCTATCCTTTAGTTTGAATTGCGGTGAGATGTATTTGGTGCAATCATACTATTTCTTGTTCTTTCAATGCTCTGTCCAGTGTGACTGTATAAATAAAAATTGCTAATCTGACTGAGGTTACGGTCGATTTCAAGTATAGCTTTATTGTTTGTTTTGTTTCATGTCATCAACTAGATTGTAATTTATGTACGAAGTAATTTTATTTATTTTATGTATATATATAAAAATAAATAATTTTTAAATTATATTTAAAATTTTAAAATTTGTAACATATAAAAATTTTTATATTTGATTGAAGTTATACAAAATAAAATATTTTAAATAATAAAAAATGACATATTTTCCTTTTTTATTATATTTTTATTTATAATAATATTTATATATCTAAATTTATATCACATGTAAATAAATTATATTTTCAGTTTTTTTTATCTAATAACCAAAAAAGCCTTAAAAAATACATAAAAGGCTAGGGTCGAATCCCAGCTTTCCTCTCTTCATTTGTTGTAGGGTTACGCTTCCATTAAAACCAAAAAATAAAAAATATATGCATATTTTCATTTTTATAATTTTGTACAACTTACTGTATAAAATATAAAAAAAATAGCTTGGGGCATATCAACTACAAGTTTTCACATCCTCGGTACACAGATAAAAAACCAAATTGAACAACAATAAAACGTATCTAACAGAATCAAACATTGCAAAGTGCTCCGCAGAGCTATTGTTCTTCTACATGAAGTCTTAATCAGTCAAAGGAGAACCCAGATAGAAAGATAATCCTGTCATTCCTACTTAAATTATTGAACCAAAGATGATAATGTTCCTTGTCCTTCCCATTTGTTTGAGTGGCTTATATAAAAAGTAATTAAGACGAGAATCTTAATTAAGATAATGTTCTTCTATTTAAATTTCATTTTCATTGAGAACAATAAATTAAGATGAGAATCTATGCCTTATATAAAAAGTAAAATCAATGATTAAAAATAGATGACAAGAAAAATATCAAGAAAATTTTTTTCAGAGACTAGAAAATCTTTGATAAAAGATACCTCAATTTCTATCATTGTACGCCTAGGAAAAGGAATTCGAAGCTTTAAAGGAATTGATTCACAAGCCAATGGTGAAGAGAATTTTCGATATTGGTTAATTTCCAAGTACGGGCACAAAATTTGATATTAGTCACATAAATTTTAACAAGGATAAAACATACAAAATAAGTTTAATTAAATCGTATTACGAGTATACACACAAAAATATATTTATCAAGTTTGATAAATTTAATAAGTTTTTATATTTAATTTAATATAAATAATTAATAATGTTTTAAACTTTTAATTACAATACACAATTTCATATTTAATATAATCATATAAAATTTTATAAATATTTATTTATGATATAAATATAATATGTAATTTATTATTATTAATAATATAACAATAATATAGATAATCATTTTAATATAATTATAACTCATTATTTAATAGCTTATCATTTTAAATTTTAGTGTAATTGTAATTCATTATATGATTTATTTTAAATTACATAATTAAAATTTAATAATATAATTACAACATAAATTTAACATATATATTCGTAACTCAATAACTTATTTTATATATTTTATATAAATTGTATGATAATTAATACTCCATATAATTATAAAAATTATTTAATTTGTTTTAAATGACATTTGATATGTATGTATACCTTATGATAATTAAAAATATATAATTTATTTTAAATCATATTATAAATTATAAGAAGTTTTTTAAATAACGTAACATATATAATTTATATTAGTTTGATATATATATATTAATTTGATATTTTCAATAATTTTTATGAGTTATCATTTGTATTATATTTATTATTTTATTAATTAATGTTCTTAATTAAAATTATACTTAATTTAGTGTGGACCTCTAAATTATTTTGAATTAATTTTTCAAATCATTTTAATTTTGAATTATTTTGATTTAAATCCATTTTGGATTCACGTTAATTTGAGTTTTTGTTAATTTGGTTTTAAATTGTTTTTAATTTCAGACCGGGTCAAGCTTGGTTAAGTCAAGTGAATTTGGCTCTATTGTTTGAGTATTTGTTTTACTTCATACCATCGATTAAATTGTAATTCATGTATGAAGTAATTTTATTTATTTTATGTATACATAAATTAATAATTTTAAATTATATTTAAAATTTTAAAATTTATAACATATAAAAATTTGTATACTTGATTGGCTTGTTATAATAAATAAATTATTTTAAAAATATAAAAAATGATATATATTTACTTTATACTGTATTATTACTTTAAATCATCTTTATTTGTAATAATATTTATATATCTAAAATTTATATCAAATACAAATAAATTACATATTTTTTAAAACAAAACATATATATTATCAAATAATAAATTAAATAACAAAAAATATATCCATACTCATTGAATGCAGCGTGAGATAAAGGCAAAAGATCCATTTCATTATTTAAAAAAATTTGATAAAAGATAATATTTTTTATTAAAATAATAATTAGTTTTTCTTTAAACCAAAGTTTAAAAAATAAAAAAAAGAAAAGTTTGTATCTTTTCATTTTAAAGGAAAAAAAATTTAAAGGAATGGTATTTTTGGAAACAGTAGCAACAGTGGCAATGAAAAAGCCCTCTAAGCCCCCTTCCTTCTTGTGGGATTTTTGAAATGCAGTGAGATTTATTTTGTATAATCATATTATTTTTTGTTTTCTAAATGCTTTGTGTAGTGCAATTAGATTAAAAAAAATTGATAATTTTATCGGAAGGAGGTTGCGGTGGATTTTAAATGTAGTTTTATTATTTGTTTTGCTGCATATCATTATTATTATCATAATTCAAAAAAATTAAAAAATATATTTTAAATGATATTAGGGTAAATTTGATGAGCTTACAAATAAATTTTAAAAATTTATAAATTTGTAAATTCATAAATTTCAATTGAAAATTTAAAATTACAAGTTTCAACCAAATTTAGTTGAAATATTTTTCAAAAATTTTAAGAATTTATAAATATTCAAATTTATATATTTTTACAAATTTATAAATTTATAAATCCATGAGATTTAAAATATGCATGAAAGAAGTAAAAAATAATTTGCTAGAAGTGAATACCTTACCGACAGGAACCAGGTGCCACGGCCCACAAGCGCACAATCGAGACCCAGGGACCACAGAATGGACACCAGCTAGCTGTGCTTTGGTTGTCCTTTAGTTTGTCATCTTGTTCCCATTTCTTTACTAGTCTGGACTTTTCATGCTCGTTTACAGAAAACACACAATTCTGAGTTTTTATTCTCTGTTCTCTCAACAGCCATCCCTCTAGACTCTCTACACTGCTGAATCCTCAAACTTTATTCACCAAAAAAGAAAAAAGAATTCCTCAAAATTTTTCTGTAGGTTCTCTGCTCTTTTGGCTTCACTACTCAAAGTGAGGATAGGAAGAAGCTGTAGCCGACCAATCTTTTGATATCTAAGACAAGGACAGAGGTATGTTTGTTTAAACCCATTTCCACTGTTTTCATCTCTGATTATTTGATTTATATTATTTTGTTTCTTTTGGTTTTGAATATTACTGTTTTTATTGTTTTGGGTTGTGTCAGTGAGCGTTCTTCCAATTCAAAATATATATATATATATATATGGAGGCTTGTATTTCCATTGTTGGATCCATTCTTGGCTCTCTTGCTGGGAAAGCGGCGGAGTACACGGTTGATCCCATTGCACGACAAGTTAGTTACTTGTTCAACCATAAGAGCAATTTTCAAAACCTCAGGGATCAATTTAAAAAACTGAAGGATGCAAGAGACAGAGTGCAAGCGGATGTTGATGCGGCTAACACACAGGGAGAGGAGATATTTAACGATGTGGATACGTGGTTGACTACGGTCAATAGGAAGATCTGTGACCAGCCTGCTGCGCAAATGGATGAGGATGAAGAGAAAGCAATGCAGAGGTGTTTCCTTGGGTTATGTCCTAATTTTAATTCTCGTTACAAACTCAGTAGAAAAGCTGAGAAAGAGGCCAACACCATTGCTGAACTCTTGAAAGATAAAGACCGATTTGATGGAGTTTCCCACAGACCTGCTCCAGAAGGGATAGCTACTAGACCTGTGAGAGAGTACGAGGACTTTGAGTCAAGAACGGGTGCTTTCAATGCGGTCATGGGGGCGCTTAAAGATGCTAATTTGAGCATAATTGGTGTTTACGGGATGGGGGGTGTGGGTAAAACCACACTAGTTAAACAAGTTGCTAGACAAGCCAAGGAAGAATATTTGTTTGATAGGGTGGTCATGGCAGCCGTAACCCAGAGTTTTGACATCAAGAAAATTCAAGATCTGATTGCAGATGAATTGGGTCTGGAGTTTAAAAGCCAGAGTGAGCCCGGGAAAGCGGACGAACTACGTAAAAGCCTAAAGAAAAGCAAGAAAGTTCTTGTTATTTTGGATGATATTTGGGTGAAATTGGATATGGAGGCTCTAGGAATTCCTTACGGAGGAGAACACCAAGGATGCAAGATCCTGTTGACGTCTAGAGAGCTCAATGCTTTATCTTCGATGGATTCGCAGAAAAACATTCCTATTGACTTATTAGAAGAAGAAGAAGCGTGGAGCCTGTTTAGGAAGATGGCTGGTGATATTGTTCTAAGCCCTGAGTTTCATGCCACGGCGATTGAAGTGGCCAAAAAATGTGCTAGATTGCCGATTGCCATTGTAACAGTTGGGAAGGCTATGAAAAATAAGAAGAATTTGTCTGAATGGAGGAATGCTTTGCAAAAACTAAGAAGGCCTTCTAAAAGAAACTTTCAAGGGATATCCAAAGATGTATATTCAGCTATAGAGTTGAGTTACAACTTTTTAGAAGTTGAGGAATATCGACAAACTTTCCTACTCTGTAGCATAATGGGACATGATGCGACCATTGAGGACTTGTTGAAATATGGCATGGGTTTGGGTTTATTTCATGGAGTTGACACAATCGAAGAAGCCCGAAATGAAGTGTCCGCATTGGTTAGTGACCTCAAAAGATCTTCTTTGTTACTTGATGGTTCTACCTTTGAGTGCTTTGATATGCATGACGTTGTTCGTGATGTTGCCATATCGATCGCTTCGAGGGACCACCATTGGCTTGCTAGGGATGATGTATTCAAAGAGTTGTCAAATGAGGAAACGATGAGAAATTGCGAACTCATCAGCTTGCAGTATGCTAAGGTTTGTGAGGTTCCTGATCATGATCAATTGGAATGTCCAAATCTTACCTTTTTATCTTTGGGTAGTGAGGATTCTTCTTTGAAAATTTCAAACAACTTCTTTAGGGGAACGCAAAAACTCAGAGTCTTAGATTTTGGCAAAATGTATTTTCCATTCTTGCCTTTGTCATTTTGTTTCCTAAAAAATCTTCATACTATATGTTTTTCTGGATGCATGTTAAAAGATATAGTCATCATTGGAGAGTTAAAGAATTTAGAAATCCTTAGCCTCCGTAAATCTAAAATTACAGTGCTACCGGGGGAAATAGGACAATTGATCAAGCTAAAATTGCTAGATTTGAGTCATTGTTCCAGTCTTGAAGTAATAGCACCAAATGTCTTGTCAAGTTTATCCCGATTGGAAGAATTATACCTACTTGATAGCTTTGATAGATGGGAGGTTGAGGTACATGAGAAGCCAAGAACTAATGCTGGCCTTGTTGAGTTGCAACATATGCCTCATTTGACAACTTTGGAAGTCGATATTCCTATTGTGCAAGCTATGCCAAAAGAATTGTTTTCTGAAAAGTTGGAAAGATACAGAATTTCCATTGGAGGGAAGTGGTGGGGGAATTATAAGCCAGAAACCTCGAGAGAGTTGAATCTCAAGTTGAATAAAAGTATTCATTTGGACGATAGTGGGGTTAAAACGTTGTTGAGGAAAACTGAAACTCTACTTCTGGATGCAGTGAAAGATGCTATGGACATGCTTTGTGATCCAGATACTGAAGGTTTCCCACATTTAAAACATCTTAATGTCCGCAATGATGCAGAGGTTAAATATCTCATTAACTCCATGGAGTTGGCTTCTTGTAAAGCATTTCCTCTTTTGGAGACATTGTTTCTTTTTAAACTGAACAATTTGGAGGCCATATATTATGGTCAACTCCAAGCTGAATGTTTCGGTCAACTAAGAAAGATAGGAGTAAGAGATTGTAATATGTTGAAGAATTTGTTCTCATTCGCCTTAGCCAGAAAGCTCGGCCACCTTGAAGAAATTGGTGTATCTAATTGCGAGAATTTCACAGAGTTAATTGTAGAAAAGAGGGAGGAAGAGATTGGTGATGATGACATTTTAGAATTCAGCCAATTACGCTCTTTAAGGTTAGAAAATCTACCAAGTTTCATTGGCTTGTTTAACTCAGAAAAAAGGCTTTCCTCGTCTCAACAAGGAAGAGTTCAATCAATTGATGGAAGTTCAACTGCCACATCGCTTTTTGACCGAAAGGTATTTATGTCAATATATTTCTCCTTTTCGTTAAATTCTCACTTCCAACATATTTCCTTTTGATCTCGTTTTTGTTCCTTTTTCTTAAACTAGATTTTCTATTTAATATGTGAATGTTATAATTAGGATAAAGAGCAAATTTATTATTGTAGGTGAGTCTTCAATTTTGTTATTATACTTTGGTTTTATTGAATTTTATTACTATAATTTCAATTTTAGTGATTTTTTATCCAAAATTAATGAAAATAAAATATATCATAAAATATTCGTTTAATATATTTAAAATAAGTATTCAATAAAACATAAAATAAGTTTTTACAACTCAAAGCTTATCCACAAGGATTAAATTATTTTATTAATAAATATTATATTTTTGTTAAATTTTAATTTTGAATATGTTTACAATATTAAAATATTAATAATAAAATTTTGTTATTTTAATAAAATAATAATTAAATTAGTGAGTTGACTCAGCCTTGGAAGGGAGACATGATAGGCCAATCCAAATAGGCCTTTGAAACCTAAAACTCCAATTCACTTTCATGACATGGCTGTGATATAATGAACTTAAGAATTGATATTATATATATAGATCGTCAATTGCGCTTTATTTTTTGGGTTAGGAGTCAATAACTCATACTCGAAATTTAATAACTTCATTGACTTTATGAAGTTGCAAATTCAAGTAAATATTTAATTTTTGTTTAATAATCTCATTGAAAATTATAGTCAAATGGCAATTATATATTATTTCTTTGTGTCATATCAATATTGGAAATTGTTATTAATTTTTTTTAACATTTGAATAATAAGAAATTTTTTATTGTCAAATATCTTTTTATTTGTAGGTCGTGTTCCCATGCTTAAAAGAGTTGTGGTTAGATTCAATCATAGTTGAAAAATTATGGCATGATCAGCTTTCAGTAACGTCTTTTGGTGTTGGAAATTTAACCGAGTTGACTGTTCAGGGCTGTCATAATTTGAAGAATCTATTTACTTCTTCTATGGTTGAAAGCTTCGTGCATCTGAAATCACTTCATATTAGGAATTGCAATGAAATTGAAGAGGTAATAACAGTGACAGAAGGATTACTGGAAGAAGAAAGGATGAGGAAAATGGTATTTCCTAAACTAGACTACTTGAAGCTCTCGTATCTTCCCAATCTCAAAAGATTTTGTTGTGGAAATCCAATTGAATTCCTCTCTTTAAGGGAACTAAGGATTGATGAATGTCCAGATTTGAACACATTTCATTCTGATTTTACAAGTGTGGGTACAATTGTTGGAAATGAAGCAGGAAAGAGCAGCATGTCAATGGTGAATCCCTGCACTGATGTACCAAAATATCTATTCGATGAAAAGGTATTTTTTAATGCTTTTCTCCATTTTTTGAACATAAAATTTTTGTTTCATACATTGTTGGTAGAGTTTTTAAATTTTACAAGTGTAGTTAAAATATTATTATATGTTTTTTATTATATTAATTTTTAAAAAATATATCCTAATGAGTTATTTAATAATCATCTAATTTCGTTGCTGTGGAATTTAAATTTGTTATCAGCGGTGTTTTAGATTGTAATTTCCCTATTAACTTAACCTGAAAACAAAGTGATGAAGTATGTATGTTAATATATTGCAAGACCATGGTGTATTCCCGAAGGCGATTTTTTTCCCATCTTTTATGTTATTTTCTTCAAGTCTTATAATTCTCCTTTTCATATAGTTTTTTTTTCCTCACAAACATTATAACATTTTATAGTCTTCCAAAGAGATATTCTATCATTGTATAATTAAAACTTTAAAATTGAAAGTCTTAATTATTTGAATTATAAAGAAGATGGCCAGAGCTAAAGATATCAAGGAACAGGTTGCATACGATTTTTTAAGTTTATTAAGGTTGATTAAATTATTTAATTAATAAATATTATATTTTCACTCAATTTTGTATATGTTTAAAATATTAATAATAATATAAAAGTTTATTATTTTACTAATAAAACATTAGTTAAATGAGTGATTTTTTTGCCAATAAAAGAAATGAGTGGGTTATCAGCCTCTTATTAGCTTTAAAAAGAGAACTTGATAGGTTCAATCGATAAATATCTCTAATAATAAAATTTTAAAACTCTTATTTTCACGAGTTACGACTTGGGTGATATAATGAGATTATTGATATTATATATTACTATAGATCTAAAATTGCACATTATTTTTTGTTTTTTGTTAGGAGTTACTAACTCATGCTTAAAATTTAGTGGCTGAATTTATTTGATTGCAACTTCAAGCAAATATTTTATTTTTTTCTAATTATCTCTCGGAAGATTATAATCATTGTATGAAGTTAATTATTTTAACCAAAAGGCTTTCAAGAATCTAGTCTATAAATATTTTAGATTTTAGAGAAAGATGGGGGTGTCCATGTGCCACCCTAACCTTCCTCTAAAAGGTAATTTTTTTTCATTTTTTATTTGACTTTAATTTTTATTAGATAAATTTTGCAAAAAAAAAAAAAATGAATGTAAGAATTACGAAACAATTTATATCTAATGAGTTTCGATTCGTTTCGATTCAATATAGATGTATTATTTTAAAAATTTTGAGAACAGATTGAGATTTTTTTTGTTTAAATTGAGGTCTCTTCAAAAGTGGTTTTAAAGTGTTTTATCTCATATATGTAAAATTATATTATTTACTATTAATTTAATGTTATATTTATATATTTATTATATTACTAAAATTACTATTTAATATCTTAATTTAATAAATTTACAACACTTTTATTTGGGTTTTTTTTATCATTTACCTTTTTTTACAAATTTTTTTTATCAAAAAAATTTTGTAAAAAAAAAATTAATGGAAGTAAAGATGACAAAACAAACCCAAGGGATTTCGATTTCTTTCGATCCAATAAGTGCATTATTTTTCAAATTTGAGATTGGGTCGATATTTTTTCTCTAAATCGGATAAGAGTAGGAAATTGATTTGGGATGTTTTATCTGATTTTTAGTATATATAAAAATATTTTTTATTATTTATTTAACTTTAACTTTATATATTTATATTAATAAAATTACTATTTAATATTTATGCATAATTAAGATATAATTTATATTAAAAAAATAAAATGTTTATGAACATTATACTAAGTTAAAAGTTTCGTATTAATTTGGATTAATTTAGATTGAATGTAGGTTATATATATATATATATATATATATATATATATGATAAGTCAAGATCAAATATCAATATCAACTCGATATCTGTTGAAAATCAAAGTTGAGTAATTATTAAAAATTTGAGTTGAAGTCCCACCCTGACTCAACTTATTTTCTATCCTTAAAAGATGGTGTCCAGGTATCCCGTTAACTTGACTTTTTTTGCTTGGTCCATTTTTTTTAGCTTTAACGCTTTTTTTTTTGTTTTTAATTGTTTATTTTAATATTTTTTTATCTATGTTTGGGAAGATAAATTGACAATAGAATTGTTTACATGGCAATCCTATTTAGCTTTTTTTTACCTTTCCATTCTTTTTGTTTTTTAAATAAAATGAATTTTGTAAAAAATTGAGTCAATAGATGTTAAAACAATTCGTATCTTATAAGTTTCGACTAACCAATTCAATAGGGATGGTTTTTCTTTTCTGAACATCGAGATCAGATTGGAGGCAAATTTAATGTGTTTTACTTTATCTCGTCCCATGATATATATATAAATATATTTTTATTATTTATTTAATTTTATTTATATGTATTTATTATATTAATAAAGTTATAATTTAATACAATACTATATTTATATATAATTATATATATATATATGTTAGGTCAGATCATGTATAAAAAATAATAATCCGATATTAAGTCGAATTAGAAAAAGCATAACATACTCCTACTAGTCCATTGTCATCTCTAAGTGGAAGGGTTACTTGGCATATTCAATTGGGTCATTTTTCTTTTTTTTTTCTTCCTTTTTGCTTAGCCCTTTTCCTTTTTCTAGGTTCTAGCTTTTTTTATTTTTTAAATTATCTATTTTAATATTTTAACTATATTTCAAAAGATAAAATTGAAAATATGGATTTGTATTTGATTTGTTAACAAGTTATGTAAATAAAATAAAGATATTATCTATAAATTAATTGATAAATTTTTATGAATCATTGTTTTTATTAAAAAATTAAAAAAAATTACAATGATTGATTTATTAAATTTATTTAATTGTTAATAAAAAATTTAGATTTGCAAGAAAATGCGGATATATTGTGAATATAATTAAAGATGGCAGATTTGTAGAAATATATAGTCAATGGCAATCATATATTATTTTTTTTGGTCATATCAATGTTGGAAATCATTATTAATTCTTTTTAATATTTGAATAATAAGGATTTGTTGACTGTCAAACATTATTTTTATTTGCAGGTTGTGTTCCCAGTCTTAGAGGAGTTGGAAGTGTATTTCTGTCATAATTTGAAGAATCTATTTACTTCCTCTATGGTTGAAAGCTTTGTGCAACTGAAAAGACTTGTTGTTGGAAATTGTAATGAAATGGAAGAGATAATAACAGTGACGGAAGGATTAGTTGAAGAAGAAAGGATGAGGAAAATGGTGTTTCCTAAACTAGACTACTTGGAGCTCTCGGTTCTTCCCAATCTCAAAAGATTTTGTGGAAATCCAATTGAATTCCCCTATCTAAGGGAACTAAGGATGGTTGGAGATAATGCGGGAAAAGGCAGCATCTTAACGGAGAACCTGTTCAATGAAAAGGTATTTTTTTAATGCCTCTATGCATTTTTTGTACTTAAATTTGTTATTTCTTATATATTGTTGGTAGAGGTTTTAAATTTTACAAGTTTAGTTAAAATATTATCATATGCTTTTTTATTATATTAATTTTTTAAAAATATATCTTAATGAGTTATTTAGCAATCCTCTAATTTCATTGGTAGAATTTAAAAATATCATCAATAGTATTTTAGATTGTAATTTCTCTATTTAACTTAACTTGAAAAAAAGTGATGAAAAATATATGTTTTTTTTTTTTCACAAACATTATAACATTTTATAGTCTATCAAAGAGATATTCTATCATTGTAGAATTAAAACTTTAAAATTGAAAGTCTTAATTATTTGAATTATAAAGGAGATGGTCGGAGCTAAAGATGTCAAGGGTCAGGCATGTGTATGATTTTTTAAGCTCCAGCTTAGTTATGGCATATTAAATTATTTTATTAATAAATATTATATTTTTGTTAAATTTTGTATATGTTTAAAATATTAATAATAATAGAAAAGTTTATTATTTTAATAATAAAATATTAGTTAAATGAGTGAGTTTTTTGCCAATAAAATAAATGAGTAAGTTGTCAACCTCTTATTAGCTTTAAAATCAGAACTTGGTAGGTCAATCGATAAACGCCTCTAATAATAAAACTTTAAAACTCTTACGTTCACAAGTTGACTTGAGTGATATAATGAAATTATTGATATTATATGGTACTATAGATTTAAAATTGCACTCTGTTTTTTTTATTTATTTTTGGGTTAGGAGTTAATAACTCTTACTTAAAATTTAATGACTGATTTTATTTGATTGCAACTTCAAGCAAATATTTGATTTGTTTTTTTAATTATCTCATGGAAGATTATAATCATTTTACGAGGCTAATTATTTCAATCAAAAGGCTTTCAAAAATCCATTCTATAAATATTTTAGATTTTGGAGGAAGATGGGGTCTATATGCCACCCTAACCTTCCTTTAAAGTGTACTTTTTTATTTTTTTATTTGGTTTTAATTTTTATTTGATTTTACCTTTTATTACATAAATTTTGTAAGAAAAATAATGAATGTAAAAATTACGAAACAATTTGTATCAAATGAATTTCGATTCGCTTTGATTCAATATATATGTGTTATTTTAAAAATTTTGAGAATGGATTAGGATTTTTTTTTAAAATCAAGATTTGTTCGAAAATGATCTTAAAGTGTTATGTCTTGTCTATAAAATATATATAAAATAATATTTTTATTATTAATTTAATGTTATATTATATATTTATTATATTAATAAAATTATTATTTAATATCTTAATTTAATAAATTTACAACACTTTTATTTGGCTTTTTTTTTTGTCAATTACCTTCAAAAAAAATTTTAATAAAAAAAATTTATACAAAAAAAGACAATAAATGTAGGAATGACAAAACAAACTCAATGGATTTTGATTTATTTCAATCCAATAAGTACATTATTTTTTAAATTTGAAATCGAGTCGATTTTTTTTTTAAATCGAATAAGGGTAGGAAACGAATTTGGGATGTTCCATCTCATTTTCGGTATATATAAAAAATATATTTTTTATTATTTAATTAATTTTATATTTATATATTTATATTAATAAAATTATTATTTAATATTTTATTTTAATAAGCTGTTATATTTATACATAATTAAGATATAATTTATATAAAAAAATAAAATGTTTATGAACATTATGCTGAGTTAAAATTATTGAATTAATTTTGATTAATTTGAATTGGATGCAAGTTATATATAAATGTGATAAGTCGGGATTAAATATCGATTAATGATAATTCAATGTTTGGTTGAAATCAAAGTAGAGTTGAATTATTAAAAATTCGAGTTAAGAGTGAAAGTGTGTATAAACTCCCTTTGACTCGATCTCTTTTCTATCCTTAAAAGATAGCATGAATGCATCCCCATTAATTTGACTATTTTTTTTGCTTGGGTCTTTATTTTCTAGTTTTATTTTTTTTTGTTTTAAATTTCTATTTTAATTTTTTTTTATCTATGCTTTGAACCATAAATTAACAATATAATTGTTTAGGTAGCAATCCTAGTTAGATTTTTTTTCGACGTTTTCATTCCTTTTTTCTTTTTGGAATAAAATGAATTTTGTAAGAAATTGGATCAATAGATATTAAAACAATTCGTATTCAATAAGTTTCGATTAACCAATTTAATAGAGATGATTTTTTTTTTTTGAACTTTGAGGTTAAGTTGGAGATAAATTTAAAGTGTTTTACTTTACCTCGTTTAACGATATATATAAAAATATATTTTTTATTTTATTTATATATTTATTATATTAATAAAATTATTATTTAATAAAATATTATATTTATATATAATTATACAAATATATGTTTAGATTGGGTATAAAAAAAAATTGATATTAAGTCGGAGTTAGGACAAGCATAACATTCTCCTTCCTATCCATTGTTATCTGTCTCTAAGTGGAGCGTCTCTTTGGTATATTCATTTGGATCATTTTTCTTTTTTTTTTTTTTCCTTTTTTAAGTTTTAGTTTTTTTTTTAAGTTTTTAAATTATCTATTTTAATATTTTTAACTATATTTGAAAATATGAATTTGTATTTGATTTGTTAACAAGTTATGTAAACAAAATAAAGATATTATCCCCAAATTAATTAATAAATTATTATAAATCATTGTTTTTATTAAGAAATTATAAAAAATTATGTTCATTGATTTATTAAATTTATTTAACTATAAATAAAAAATAAATTTAAATCTACAAGAAAGTGTGGGTATATTGCTAGTATAATTAAAGATGGCGGAGTTGTAGAAATATATAGTTAATGGCAATAATATATTATTTTTTTGTGTCATATCAATGTTGGAAATCATTATTAATTCTTTTTAATATTTGAATAATAAGGAATTGTTGATCGTCAAACTTTACTTTTATTTGCAGGTTGTGTTCCCAGGCTTAGAGCAGTTGTATCTACAGTCAATCCCAGAGAAAAAACTATGGCATGAGCAACTTTCAGTAACTTCTTTTGGTGTTCAAAATTTAACAAAGTTGGAAGTGTACGTCAGCCATAATTTGAAGCATATATTTACTTCTGCTATGGTTGAAAGCTTTGTGCAACTGAAAACACTTAATATTGAAGAATGTGATGAACTTGAAGAGATAATAATAGTGACGGAAGGATTAGTAGAAGAAGAAGAAAGGATGAGGAAAATGGTGTTTCCTAAATTAGACTGCTTAAAGCTCAAGCATCTTCCTAAGCTCAAAAGATTTGGCTTTGGAAATCCGATTGAATTCCCTTCTCTAACATATCTGTATATAGAAGGATGTCCTGTTTTGAATACAGTCCATTCTGATTCTACAAGTGTGGGAACAATTGTTGGAAATGAAGCAGAAAAGAGCAGCATCTCAATGGAGAACCTCCACTCGGATGTCTTAAAATACCTATTCAGTGAAAAGGTATTTTTTTAATGTCTTCCTCCATTGCTCTAATATAAACTTAAAATTTGTTTCAAATAATTAAACCCATTTTCAAATTGATAGGTAAAACTATATGTTTAATAGAAATAGCACCTAATTATTAATTACATCATTCGAATTTAAGAATTTATTTTTTATTTCAATAATCTAATAGAGGGTAAACTACTTATATTGCTAATTGCTAATGAGATTCCTAACCCATAAACCTTAAAGAGTGATATGAAATACATCATTTTTTTTGCTCTTCTTATGCTATTTTTTTTTCAAATCTTTTTTAAAATAAAATTACTTAATTACTCTTTTTCATAAGTTTCCTGATATTTATATCCAACAAGTTATACAATTTTTCAAACATTTATTTTAAAAAATTTATAAAAAATATATAATTAAATAATTTTACTTAAGGAAATTTTAAAAAATAAGGTATAAAGTGAAAAATAAGGGTGTATTTAACACCCCTCAATCCTAAATCTTAAATAATCTTTGGATCAAAATTTGAAAAAATAGATTGACGTGTTTTGAAAAAAAATAAAATAAAAAAGCATTTAATGGCAACATAATAAATATTAAAAAGAAAAGTATGTAAACTATTAATATATTTGTAAGAATAAAATACAATAATTTGTTTACCAAGATAGAATATATAATTTTATAGTATAACTTTGGATTGATTTATAATTTAACTAGAGAGGTACCTTTACACTTCAATAATCAAAATTTATTTTATTTTTAAATGTATATTTTACTAGTTTTTCAGTAAAGTTATATGCATTAAAAGATTTTTTGAATTCTAAATTTTTGTAAAAGTTGATGTGTATCAAAAGTTAAAAAACGATTGTACCTATTTTTTTTAACAAAAAAAAAACGTTAATGATAATGACATACTCAAATCAGCTACTACTATATAAATATACATGATTCAGTAAAAAAAAAAAAGATCACTATTTATATTAAAGATATACTTTTTTAAATTTCTCTTTTTATTCCACCATATTACAATCGTTCATTTTGATCCCTTTCAACAACTCATCCTCCGTCCCATTAACACTTGCATGAATTGTGCAGTTGGCATTCCCAAATCTACAGCAACTTCACCTCGAATGGGATGATGGGATGAAAGAGAGATTGCATGGCCTACGATTTGCCTCGGACTACTTTTGCAAACTAAAAGTTCTCCGACTTGGACGGTTTCCTCAACAATTAGCTATATTCCCATTACTATCCTTACCCAATCTCGAAAGCCTTCAAATAGGAAATTGTTACTTTGAAGAGTTGTTATTCCAAAGTGAAGGAGTTGGTGGTGAGGAAGGATTCCAAAATCTAAGGATTTTATATGTGGAAGGGTGTCCCAAATTAAAAAGTAATTTAGTTCCATCCTCAGTATGTTTCCAGAATCTGATGACTCTTAAAGTTGAATTTTGTTATGGGATCATAAAATTAGTTGCACATTCAACAGCCAAAAGCCTAGTGCAGCTCAGAGAAATGAGGATAAGTTCTTGTGAAAAGATAGAAGAAATAATAGAAGGTAGCGATGGGGATCGTGATGAAGTGAAGGTTGAAATCATTTTCCCCAAACTCAACCTTTTGGAACTGAGTTGCCTATCAAATCTAGAAAGCTTCTGCTCATCAGGGAATCATACCTTTGGATTCCCATCCTTAGCAACAGTAATTGTAAATTATTGCCCAAGGATGAAGATGTTCTCTAAGGGAGGGTTAAACGCTCCGATGTTGCACAAAGTACGACAATATGAGTGGGATGACGGGGATTGGATTTGGGAAGGAAGCCTTAATAGCACCATACAAAAACTGTTCACGGAAAGGGTATGTTTTTTCAAATTTCTTTGATTATCATTGAAAAAGAAAATTTGTGGTTGGGAGCGTTGATGACGACTCCATTGTAAATCAAAATTAATTCATCTTTTCGCCTTCATGACCAATTAAAATTAATTGTTGTTGGTGATTATTATATATATGTAGAATCCCATGGAGGAAATGCAGTATTCTATAGAAGATCAAGGCAATCCTTCAATTTCTAACACACAAGTAAGTCAAATTTCATTCTATAAATCTTCAGATACCATTCATAATAATATAGCTTTTGTTTCTTTCAACTCAAATGCTTTACTTTTCCTCATCAATTAAGTAGGAGTTTGATGCCTCCTTCCTAGTTCATATTTCTCTTATCATTATAATATTATGTAATTTTTAAACAGTTTTTCCTTTTTATTTTCATCAGGATTTCTATTTAATTTACTCTTTTTAGGATATTCTAGAGCAACTGAAATAGATCATTGGATTTTCTTTTTAAAATACTTTTACTTTTCAGTAATAATATTCTTTATGGTTAGAGAATGTTTAAATTTATAATAAAATAAAATAAGAAGAGGGATTATGGTGATGATCTTCAAATGGCAAGCGTGGCAAGGTAGGAAATTGTTGAAAATGTGTATTTGAGACATATGACTCTTGTTTCTTCATTTGAAATCAGAATGGCTTTGTTATCATTCATTATGATACTGATTCTTCAAAGAGTTAACAAAAGTAATTTTCCAGTAATTTTCTTTTCACCTTCACTAATATTTGTTCATTATGATTTCATAATCCAGTCAACATAGTCGAGAATTCTGAAGAAGATCAGCTCAATCCTTCAACTGCCAAGAAACAGAGTAAGCCAAAAAGTCTTTCCATGCATCTTGAGACAGTATAGCTTATGTAGTACTCATCTAATGCAAATGATTTTTCTTTCCTTGAATAAGGTAAGTTCTTCATTTGACGGTGTTTTCTTCATCTCAAGTGCAGAAGTGCAAGGGTTCTAATTCCTATTTCCTTCACGGCCAGCATTTATGTGCCATGGCAGAGTGAAGTAAACAATGTATGTATTTTGAGACATCATTATTGATACTTCATCGTTTGAAATCAAATGGTTATAAGATTTCTTTATTATAATACAAGGGTTCTTTAAAATGAAATAATGGTACTCTTTTTTTTCGTTTCTTTTGATAGTCAATTATCATATTACCAAAGGGCAGTGCTGCCAAGCTATTCTGTCTCTAAAGACAAGTTTAATCATGCTGCATTTGATCAACCTGTAAATGGTTGCAGCTTCTTTCTTTTAGTCTTTTATGTTTCTATGGTGACTAATTATAGCTTGCCATTTATTTGAACAACCTTGGAAGAAATAACATATGTACTACTTTTCTATTTTTAATGATCTGGGTGTTGAGAAGTTATGGATGACAACAGTTCTGAAGTCAGAGGATAAGGAGAAATATTATGAAGTTCAGGATCACATACTTATTTTGAAATTTCAAGGATTTGCGACTCTCCCTTTTTGGGAAGGTACAAACTATTTCACGTTGAAACTTGAAAGAAAGCTCAATTCATATTTATTCTGGAGGCTCAAATTGATGGTTTTTGTTTGGGCTGGCTGATGGTTTGTGTTTGTTTACAGGTGATTTTCTGCTGCATTGAACCAATGGCAAATTCTTGAGTCCATTGGGTGCCCCAAGGTGTGCTGTGCCTACAACATTTTGTGAATGGGCAATTTATCCATCCTGATATACCCTGTTCCATTCTACTCGACCCTTGTGCTGAGTTCCATGCTACCTTAGTGGCACTGTTCAGAAGCATGATTTGATGGCTCATGGTGAACAAGGTTAGTCGTTTTCTTTGGCCTTGGGCAATTTTTGTGCTTATATATTAATTATCAATTGATTTTTCCACCTAGATCTGTGATTGACATTTTTATCATCAATGTGAATTGTAAATAGAGCATTCAATGTCAAGGAGGCAGATGGTACAGGAAAATTGGGCAGAACGAATACCCCTCCTAGTTTTCTCATACGATGAGGGCTAATGCCAATTAATCCTACTGATTGAATGGAAGAATGGGAAAGAATCCAATCGCCATTGAAGGTTTACAAAGTATTTGCCTCATGTCAAGTGAAGAAGCTGGTCCTTTTCAAACTTTAGCAAAGGCTTACTAGTTTCATTTCATTAATTGAAAACATATACAAGTCAAAACACTTGCAGAAAGCCCAATGACTGACAACTCATTGGGATGGAGCAGTTATTTCTGATTTTCATTTAGGACATTTTCTATCAGCATTGACATAAACAGAACAACCTATAGCAAGGATCTTGTTCCTCTGAATACACTATAAGCCAAGAGTTTCCAAGTATAAGAAACAGAGGATCGTTGTTCAAGTACAATGATTTTTATCTACAATAGGCATCAGTTTTAAAGTTGGATTTTTTAGTTCTTTTCCTGAAAGAGTCTTGGCTTCAAATCTTATAAGAAGTGCCTTATATTCGTTTAAACACTGGTAAGTAACTATGAGAATTTAAGTTAAATGAAGTTAATTTCTTCTATTTGCAATGAAATGGAGAAAAGTAAAACCATTGTTGATTAACTTAAAATAAACATTATTTGATGATTATATTAGAAAATTTTTACAAATCATCAAGGTAAAGCTAATTGATCAATTAAATTAATTAATAACTTAATTAAGAGATAAGATCCAAAATTTAACTCTTATCTTTAATTCTCTTTTATATTATTGTTTGTATTGAAATTCTAATTAAATTAAACAGCAAATTAAAAATTGAAATAACTTATAATTTTTATTGTTAGCATAATCTACCACTTTAATCCACAAGGATTAATATAATTAGTAAGGAGAAAAGGTTTTTTTTTCTTTGTTAATTAGAATTTGAACCCTATAAAAAAAAAACTTTAAGAGTAAAACTCTGAATGTATCCAATCGATTTTTTTTTTTTTTTTTGTAAATCAGAATTTGATATTTATGAAAAATATTTTAAAAGTAAAACACTGAATATAACTTACTGTATTAGAGAAAATCTCTTGAGAGAAGAAATTAGCATTAAATAAAGCTCGATAATATATCTAATAGTAAATCTTGAAAATATTTTGAGATCATATTATAAAAAACACTTTAAATTCTATGATATTGAATTTAAGTAACCATAATGACATAACTAAAAAATAAGTCAAATGTTATAGACAACTTAAGACAATTACTTTTTATTCTTACATAGACACAATATTAGATAATAAATTTACCATGTTTTATCTTTTTTCAAAACTACATAATACCAAGAGAAGTTAATGTTTTGGCACATCATCTAAAATTTTCGAAGTAACCAAAATCCAAGTACTTGAAAAATCATCGTGCATCATGTAATTAGTTAGAATCGGTGGTCAACTAAGTTAAATTTTTGTAAGTAAGATATTAATTTAAATCCTCTTCCAACAGCACAGGCTAATAAGTAATAATTGTTCATATTATTATGATCAAAATAAGAAAAAATTTTTCAGTACGTAAATATTTGTGAACTTATAATTGAGTTCAGTTGGTTGATATTAATAAGTTTGGGTTCAAATTTTAATACTCATAACTCTTTTAAGTTAGATTTATGCAATCATTTTTTCAGTAAATTTAAGATTCAAATTTCTATACCTTCAATCTTTTTCTTAATCTTTAAACTATGATCTCTTAAAAAAAAAATTTTTTGAACCCTTCAAAGAAAACAAAGATGAGAAATATTTTCATTTTCCATGTAAGTTAATGACCAAAACTTGAAATAAAAAAATTAAAAAAAAAAAAAACCTTATCCAAGAATAAGGGCTTCAGCTTGACTACATGAATCCTTTTCCATGGTACTTGATTTATCTACTCCTTAATGTTACAATATTCTGTGTGATGTAATTCATCAGAACTCTGCCATAATGATCTTTCGCATTAACTCTTTAGGTGCTGCAAAACAGAATAAAAAAATTGACCTCATTTAAACCATATTAAGAATTTTGAAAATATATGTTGCAACTAAAATTCTTGAGCTGTAGGAGGCAGTAATTTTGAGGAAGAATAGTTGAGATTATCACCACAAAACTTGAACTTGATCATGAGGATGGTACATGGTAAAATTAGAAATCAGAATTTTTGGAAGAGGTTCAAAATAGGATATCTCCAGCAATTTTGACTCAACGTATATATATATTTTTTATAAAAATTTAGGATAAGAAGAGGCATTCTCATTTTAAGACCATAGAAGATCACAAGCTTCAGCATCGACTTATATTAATTTACAAATCATCTATCAAGGGAAATGCTAGCAACGGGACTCAAACCTAAGTCTTATAAACAAAGTATTCGAATCTTATCAACTCAATCAAAATAGCTTTTTCATATCATAAACTTGATCCATTGGTCCAACTAATGAAATAAAGATGGATTCACTGATCACTGGAAGCTTTATTTTTCTTTTTCAATAGTCTCATGACTAAAATCAAACAGCAAAAGATCAAAATGGTTGAACCATCAACTTACATTTGCAGTAAAGATCTAAGGATGGTTTAAAAGGTCTAAAGTTTCTAATTGATTTAATTAGAAAATAAGTGTCCAGAGTGGTTATGATGTAGTTTGAGGTCATGAAACAGATAGAGGGAAGGAAGGGATTCAAGAGATACCTTCTCGACCAGTGAAGAGATTGAACTGACCAATAGCTTGTCTGAGGAACATTTCAATTCCACTGAAAATGATTACTCCTGCTGCCTCGGCATCTTTTAATAGTCTTTTTTTCCTAGGTGTGTAAACAGCATCAAAGACCGGCTCATAATCTAGCAAGGTTGCCTGGAAAATGAAAGCAAATAACTTCAGTAATGAAACAAATTGAACTTTATTCTTCAGAAAAGAAATACCACTAAGTGGTGGAAGGTGGAGACCTCAGCAACAGGAATGCGCTGATCAGTATTCGGATGCATTCCCAGGGGTGTTGCATTTGCAAGGATCGATCCTTTCTCTGGCTGGAAGTTAACTACTTCTTCATAAGGTCGAGCTTCACCCGAGACAGCACAAGCAAGGGACTTTGCTCTCCCTTTTTCCACAAGCAATGATAATAGTAAGAAAGGGTTTTTATTCTCTACTCATAATGTTTATTGCTAATGCTACAACATTGTATTGAAAAAGAGTAGGCAGAAGTTATAGTTGACAATCAAATCAACATAAAGGGAAAAACCATGGATTTTCCTTTTAAGAATTGTAGATCACATACCAAAAATCAATGTCAAAATGACTATTTGAGCTCCTCTGCTTTTAAGCACCAAATGCCAATGCTCTTCCTGCACCTCCAGCACCAACTAGCACAAAGAGTTTCCCCGATATCGGACTGCCTAAAGATACTTCATTACCAGTGCATCTCTTTTCTATAGTAGTTTACGATTTACAAGTACAACAGTGCCAGTATATCAGCATCTAGAATGGACTAGTCATTGATCAATACTTTAAACTTCTAAGAGGACATGATGAACATTTTTTTTCTCATCAATGGCAGGTACCTTTCAGAGCATCCTCGATCGCAGTTATTGCAGCTTCGCAGTCAGTATTATAACCTATCAGCTTTCCATCACAAGGCCTCCTTACAATAGTATTAACAGCACCTATAGACTGACAGTGCATGAAAAAAATTTGATTACATTCTCAAATATATAAATATAGGAAACTACAAGCAGATGCTATTAATAGGGAATTGAAGCACTAAGAATTCTGGTAAGAATTCTGGATATAGGAAAAATTCTAGAATCGCCTCTGTGTGAAAACAGGTAAATATATCAATATAGAACATGTCAACATACAATTGTTTGAGTGTAATCCTCTGTTACTTTTGGTTTCCCATCACAAAATGTGCCATGTCTGATGATGCAATGCCAACTAGCTCAGATATGTAAAATATGAATTTTACAACCAGGATCTAGATAAATATGCTGCCTAAACTTAAATACAATTTTTTTTTCCTTTTTTCTTTGGCAATGAGCTGATAACCAGTCTTATATGCTTGGTATGCTTACTCTCAATAAAGTTGAACTTCTAAATAATTAGATTCAGAACTTGGTCTTAGACCTTAGTATAGCCCAGAAATCGGTGCTTTGGTAAACTGTGCATAAAGAAATGGAATAGGGCACAAAAACAAGGGACCTGAAAAAATACATGGGAAATTACAGATTCAAACATGTTTGTAAGAATGTTATATAGTCAACCTGGCAAGTAGATGAACTTCATCACAGAACTCAACTACAGCTCCCCTCTGTAACGGAAACCCAACACTGCAATCCATTGGAATGAGGAAAAAGAGAAGTTACATTTCGGAGAACAGTGGAAAACAAACCTGGCTAACATCATTCCAGGAGATGAAAATAAGGGTGAGAAATAAAGCATTTATAAAGAAAGAAGGCATTTATATTTCAGTAATGTTGCAACTATCCGTAATCTTCCAGTTTCGAAAATCAGTATTACTATATCATACTAAAGAGCTAGTTGTAACATAAAATTTTCCTAAATCCATACTTTCTTAGTACTAAATCTTTCAAGGCCAGTTCTGGGCGTAGTTGTTACTGGCTAAAATGTGTTTGAATGCCTAAAAGGCCAAAACACAAGTGTTGCTCATAAGAACGGATGCAGCTTACAGTGGCTATATACTTAAGTGAAAAGACTGTAACCTGACATAATCTACCAAAGAAAAATTGAAGGATGACGTACCTAAAACCAGGAAAGTCGTGACTGGAATAGATGTTAAAGAACTCCCTGAGGTTATCTACAAACATTGGGACATAAACACCATTGAAGTTCTCATGTCTGAATATAGGATTATGCAATAGAGGGCCTTTGCTGTGACGACAGGTTTTGAAACAAGTCCAAAAACTTTAGTTTCTGAATTTAGATAGCCAAGTTTGTAAGTGTGGATAACACTATATAAAGAAGGCATGCCAGGAATTGAATTTCCTTCAATAGATCCATAGGCTAGAAAGCCACCAAATTTTGGGCACAATAGCTGGCTTATGAGACCTCTTTCCCCTGCAGAGTATGCTATTATTGGTACCTGCAGATAAATAATATTTGATATGTTATACCACTGCAACATTTATACAACTAATCTGCACATATTCAAAGCAAAGTCAATAGAGTTAGAGTTTCATACTTTGCAATGAGAAAGCAAATGAAAAATTCTTGCTATCTCAGTAATATCAGTTACATTTGCAGCCATCTTGATGATATCTGCTCCAGTAGCTCGCATGCTAGCGGCAAGATTGTTTAACTCTTCATCTGAAGAGGTCATTCCATTTATGTGACATGACACAATAAATTTGGTAGCACTACCATTCTTCATTTTCTGTTCCCGAATAAGATCAGAAGCAACCTGGACAATCACATAAAACTAAGAGAAATTTCAAAGGAACAAATAGGTCATTCAAAGGGAAAACTACCTATGGCACTTTTTAATTTAACTGCTATCAGATAAATGAGAAACGAAAAGGGAGAAAATATTATTTAAGTTTGTAAAATAGTCAATGACAGAAATGAAAGCACCAAAATGCAATAATCAAGAGTATAATAGTTTGCAAACAAAAGTACAACAATTTAAAAGCTACCTTGAGTTCAAAATCAACATAATCAGCTCCCATTTCTGTAGCTAAATGAAGTGCTTCAAGCCGGGAGTGCTCATCTCCTTCATACTGACCACCTTCCGATTTAGGCCTGAAGAAAAGACTGAATCTTAGAAATTAAATACATGGAAACTTCAAACCTTCCCAAACTTTCAAACCGAAGTTATTTTTCATCTTTTCCTACAGTTTTAGAAGTTCATACAACATAGATTCCTGTCATCTCAGAAAGAATGGCAAAATTCTATCATTGCCACCTATTGTAATCTAATTATCCTACCTCATAACACAACTCACAAGCTTCTGAAAGTGAAAATGAAAAACATTATTAACAAAGTAGCAGTACGATAGATTTTCATTCAGAAAAGAGTACAAACTCATTAAAAACTCATAAAGTTGGGCACTGATATTTGTCCTCTCTGTTTCCAATTTCTATGCATGTTTGCATCCACAAGCAAAAGTGACAGTTCAGTATCATGGTTGGTCTCAAATAGGTAGAACAAAAAACATTTATTATTACAGCTATTTGATGTGTTGAATTCAGGATGCCCGTCTTCAAATCACCAAATAGAAAGCCCATCCTTGCAACAATATGCTGCAGCTTTTACGCAAAAATACATTGCATGTGATTCTGAATTACTGGCTACATCCATATAAAAAGAAATGATGGGAGCTAATAATATCTTTTCCACAAAAAAGGACAAGGTAGCAACATACAGAAAAGAATCTATCAAATACAATCTTGACTTCTAAAATGAGGGAAAAAAGCAAATTTCCAACTCTAATCTCCTAATATTCATAAGACTCTCAAATAACATAAAACTAAGAAATCCACTAGTAGAAAAAAAAAGGTGAGATGATTACCTATATACAATGATCACTGGCAAAACTCTATTTTTGAGATGATTTGAATATCCCGGTGAGGCTGGAAATTCTTGATATGGTCCAATCTAATCTCAACAACTTGTGCACCTTCAGCCTTTGCCTGGTGCATGTCTTTAACAATTTGCTCCACTGATTGAGCCATTAATGGAGCACATATCATAGTTGAATTGTTCAGCATCCCAGTACTACCCATTTCAGCAAAAGATCAAAAAAGCCAGCTAGCTAAACTTTGAGAAACCCAAAAGAAGAGAAATTAAAATAAGTAGAATGTATAAATAAGTTTGGTCTATCTGTATAAGCGTATTAAACAGAAGAACTTTGCCAAAAGGAGGGTTGGTTGATGTAACAAGTCAAAAGTCTTTGACTGGATTGCAAGAATTCTATTTTGACGTAACGTAGAAAAGACAAGCCAATAATTGTTACAATCAATAAATGATGATAACATATAATGGATTTTTTAATATATATATATATATATATATATATGAAAAACAAGGCCAAAGACAGACAAT